CCCCCCCCCCAGCCTCACTTCTGAGAAAAGCCAGCATTGAATCATTTACTTCGTCCAAATTAAAATTTGGAATCTGCATGCATTATATATTCACCCGTGCTCGGACAAATCCTCTTAACTGTGGGAGAAATTGTCAGGATGTGTCCTGTAGAAAAGTAAGAGCCTTGTCTAGTTGTATTGCCTGTAGCAAGGGAGCATCTCAATCTGTCACTCAAGTCCACACACACACACACACTAACCACAGTAAATCAGCTTATGAATAATATATACTTGTACTTTCTTTATTAATATTAAACATTGCATAATGAAGCACCGACTATAAGCAAATCCCAGAGCAATATTCATATTACCATGAGCTGTCCTGGAGTGGACCTTTCATTGTTTATGTCAGTCCTGTTATGGTTAAACACATCACAATGCCTGCTTTGACCAGTTTTCACACTCAAGTACACAAAACGCTTTTTTTGTTCTTAAAAACTGTATTATGTAGAGGGCAGTGTTCTATATACTGGTCTATTTTAAGATATTTATGCAATTTTGGTATCCTTTAGAGAGTAAACAGATGGGAGAGCCATGAAATATGGAAGATAAAAGGATGTGACGAAGGTTGTGACCCAGAATCAAAGCCAGTTAAGTTGCCTAGTTAAACGTTGTCCTTGGGCTCGTTTTTATGATTTAACATAAATTAGAAGTGCCTGGAATCTACTTAAATCCTGGGTCATTTTGGAAAAGAGCTAAAATGTCTCTTGTTACTTGGACAAAACTTCAGCATGTCCTCATCTCTTGTGTAGGTATTGCCCTGCGGTGTGTTCAGTGGCACTTACCATGCAAGGATGCATGTCTCCTTAGAGGAAACATTCTGGACTTAAAACCTTTCCTGTGTCCACAAGCAGGGTATTAGTGGTATATTGGCCCTGTGCAACCCAGCTTAAACTGCCTTTGCCCAGAGCCAGCAGATACAAGCTATAATGGAGACATTGATGTATTATTGAGAAACCCATGGGTAAGGATCAAGGAGCTGTTGCAAGCCAGTAGGGATAGCAAGAGAGTGTGTGAACTCAGGATAATGTTTTTCCTTCAGCATCCAGTGTGTCCACAACTGCTCTTGCCCTCTTGGCCCGATGCGGAAAGAAGACATTTCATGTAATATCACATACCGAATTTATGCGCTCCAGTCAAAGCAATATGCTTGACAACATGCTCGGGCCTATCTGTGAAAGATAGCTGTTGTGCTATAGTGTTTCCATGTGGAGTCTGCTGAGGTTATGTCTACTTGAGCTAGAGCTGAGATGACATTTCATTTATATAAATAATTACTGTCCTGAAAGTCCCCTAGGCCTGCCCTGAAGCAATCAAACTTCTAATGCTCTTAAAATTGCCCGCCATGTTTTATTAATGGCAGACTATAAAATGCATTGCTCTGGCTGCACACTTCTCTGCTGATCCACGAGGAAATAGTGTCAGCTTTAAATGGTCGTATTAGACTTTATATTTTCATTCAACAATGTATCTGAACTTTGAATTGTACGGTAAGAGAAAAAAAGAAAGAAACTTGAGTGTGTTCTTTGCTGAGCTGCAGCCTGTACAAAGCACTTATCTGTGCATACACTGATCTAAATGAATACAGTGAATTATGTGCGGAGTGATTGCCCATTAGCGCCATTAATTGCCTCTGAGTGAACCTGATCTGCTCTTCAAGGACTCTCTTAGATTCTGAACTGTATAAATGGCAAATTAAGGAGGCTTCATTCTAAAAATAAGAGTAAAGCAGAGTAACGCTGTGGTAAGGTTATCACCCCCATGTCTCCTGACTGTGCCAACAGAGGGTACTGTTGCCTCACAACATGTTTAAATTATCCCAACAACAAAGATGCAGACCCCCTCCCTGATTCAATGTGAGGACATTAGTGTAGTATGTTTACAGTTATATTGATCATGTCCAGTAGCATTACTGGTTCAATTACATAGCCTGATGCATGATAACATAAACTATTAATTACCTAAATTAAAGGTGACCTTTGAACCCAGACTGACCAGTATTTAATCTGATCTTGGTGTGGGTGGTCCTGATATTCCAGCCATTCCCAAACAGTTTCCTTATGGTTCCTGCAGAATTTCAGCTGGCATTATATGAAAGGAGAGTTGTAACAATTAATAAACTGATTAGAACATGCAGGAAAAGGCAGTGTGGAAAAAGGACAAACGTAAAAAAGAGTCATCATGGTCTTTTGGATGTAATGACCATAAGAGCCGATACATGAGAAGGTAGAGAATGCGTTTGGGGTGGTAACTTCACTGCCTCACGGGGCAGACAGAGGGACACTGTCGCTGAAATAAGTAACGACCGATGAGTGATAATTACTTTTTGTACGGAGCCAAGCGCTGAGCTCCGGGGAGCCACCGCTGGTTGCCTCCAGTGTCCGTGTGTCGTCCGCCGCCTTCACATGACGCGCGTGTTGTGTCTGACGCGCAAACGTCATGGACGCACTTGAACTTGAATCCCATCCCACTCAAACGGAGGCAACCCCAACCACACACTCACCCACGCTCGCACAAAAACACAGGCTGCACATAGTCTGCACACACACACACACACACACACACAAACACACACACAAATGCGGGGTCCTCCCAAAACAGAGCCTCTTTCATCGTGTGAGTCAACAAGAAGTAGCCTCGACACTGTAGGAAACTAGGAAACATTGGACCTCTGCTTGTTGGACGAGGAGGAGGAGGTGTCTTGTCTGCCCGCCTGCTTTCTCTCTCTCTCTCTCT